CTAGCGAGGGGCAGGGGCCCCCGGGGCTCCCAGGCCACCGCCGCTCGCTTCGCCGCAAAGCAGTGACCTCCTGGGTGACAACTGCAGCCAGAGCTGGAAATCCTGGTGAAAGCCAAGCTCTTCCACTGCATTAAAAATTCATTCTGGGCTCTTACCAAACCTCTTGGCTGATGAGCAGTGAATACCTCTTTCAGTACTAAAATTTGAAATGCCACATTTTGCAAAATATGTCAAAACTGAGGCCTTTGAAGCATTTGTTCCCTAAGCTTTAAAAGATGAGACAGTCAGCAGCGTTTAGTTGGTGACCCTGGGCTACCTCCCTGCTCGCCAGCTAAAGCAGGATCTGCTTTGCAGAGGGCACGCACCTGCACCAGCGAGACGGAGACGGAGCTGGGGAGCTTCACGGAGGATTTCTGCTCCGGCATCGCGGAGGATTCGGTGTTCTGAGGACACGGGAGACCCGTCACTCTCCTCACCCCGGCCCTTGCCAAGGGGGATGGAGGAACTGCTCCCACCAGGTGCCTCGGTGAAGTCATCGCTGCAGGGGGTATCGCACACTCTGCGAGCACTGTGGCTCTCCTGTAAAAACTGTCTTTCCTGGAAAAGAGCTTTTTTTTTTTTTCTGGCTGGCAGCTTAATTTTGGAGGTGTTGTTTTGTTTTACAAACCTCTAATGACTTCAGCATGTAAAATGTCAAGTGAGATTTTGTGCAGTCTTGTGTGTGGCAGTGCAGTACAGGGCCTGGCAGCGACCGAGATGTGCCAAATATCAGGAAAAGACTAAACCAAGCCGTGCAGCATCCCTGTTCTGCCATCCCTGGAGCTGCACTGCTGTGTAAGCTGAGGAGGAGACCTGGAATCCACTGAGGGCCTTCACTTCATGAGACCACAGCGCAAACTCGCAGATCAGCTGAGTAACCTTTGTTGAAATGCCAGTCTTCAGCACGGCTTAACAGAGCACGACCATGTTCCTGTGGTTCCCTAACTTCATTTCTGTTCATTTATAAAGAGAACACTTGATTGCGCTGTGCGAGGACTATGAACAAGGCTGAGCAGGTATCAATTGGATAAAAATCATGTCTGCAGACACTGCTGATGTGCAGAGGAGTCCAGGTTTCACTGAAGATTGTGCAGTTTTGAGTTGTTATGCAATGTCCTTGCATCCTCTCCCAAAATAAAAAAGGCTCTGTGATAATGCTCAGTTACGCAGCTTGTGATACGTGCTCCTTCATCATTCCCCTTCCAAGTGTTATTTTTAGAGCTGGAAAAAAAATGCAGTTCCATTTCAAGAACATTTGCAAAGGTTTCAGATTAGTTTTGCCAGAGGAAAATTTGCTGTCAGCTGGTGAGGGCTGGAGTCCTGGAGAAGCCCAAAGGCCAGGGCAGGAAGAGATGCTCCCGGGGGCTGGCTGGGCTCAGGCCGCGCTTCTGTCATCTCCACTGCTCCTCACACACGACTTGCCCTTCCCCAAGCCCCCTAAGGGCTCTGGCTCTTGCTTCCTCACTCATCATTCATTTCCATCACTCTTCAATCCGAATCGTTCGGATTCTTAATCCAAAACCTGCCGCAGTGTACGAGGTGGGAGAGGAAAACCCGCCTGAGCTGTCACCCGTCGTGGCTCTGCTCAGGGAGGTGTTTGATGTGCAGGAGCCCTGCGACAGCCAGCAGCAGGTCTGTGTGCAAAATCTACACAACAGCAAGTGGAGAGAGACTCTCCTCCCCGTTCTAAACCCTGAAACTGCAGCCAGACAGTTCCATTATGGGGAATGGCGTGAACGGTAAGAAAGATCTGTGGGGCCCTTGGCAGGTTATTACTTAACGAGAAACTAAACCACCTCCATTGCCTTGTACCGTGTGAAGTTACTTGCTTACATTTTGCTTTTTAAGAAGAAGTAGCACCAAGTTTTCAGGGTGGGGAAATGAGCGTCCCAATTGCAGGACTTCTACAAACCCTGAAGATCTCTTTTTTTTTTTTCTTTTATTTTCTGGGCTGTTTAAGTTAGGCTGTTTATGCTGTTGACATGCACTTAATGTCTTGTTATTTTTGTACATTGTTGCCATAGGCAAAACCGCTGAAATATCTCAGTTTGTTGTGCATGGCAGGTTTTCCAGGGGGGCTGGGGCTCTGCAAGAGTTCTGCAGGTTTCTTAGGGTGCCAAATGCAACCTTACAGTAAATTCACAGTGTGAGAACTGGAAAGTCTTCTGGGGAAGACTGTGAGCATTGGTTCTGCAGAGAACTTGTGGGAGTTTATAGCTCTGAAGCACTGACTTTCTGCCCACCTGAGTGCTCACCTGCCTGAGGATGGCGAGACGTAGGGGAGGCTTCTGAGCTGGCTCATTTTCAGCCCACGACTTCCTTGCAGGCTCTGGCAGCAGCGTGCAGCATCTGCAGAACGATGGGAACGGATCACTCGTGCTTCCTGGCATGAGGCACTAACACCTAAGAAAGAAAGGGAAATGGCACCGCTGCGCTCCCTCAGCAGCACCCAGCAAACATCATTACAGAACGATCACAGTGGAATTTGCCAAGGAACTTTTGGTGCTCTTAACAGGGCTTTCTGAGATTAAAAAAAGGCTTGGCTGCTACTTCATATTTAATTGCAGCTGCTTTCAGGTAGTTCTGGGAACCTATGTCCTTACCTACGCCTGCAGTTCCACCTTAAAGGCACCGAGTTTGAGCCAGGGCTGGTTTCCTTTTGCAACCTGTGCATGATCAACCACGCAAGTTATCGAGTAAACCTGCTTCTTGGAAGCACTTGATTTGGCTGCTGACTGCAAAGCGCTTCTGTTCTTGCAGACTTTCTTTTGCTTTCCCAAAAACCTCCTATCTGAGCTACCTGGTGGTGGGGTTAAACACATTAACGAAGAACAGAAAGAGGAATTTGACCTGAGAGTCAATTGTTTGGAAAGTGCCTAATGTAATGGAGTTCCCAGGTGCTACAGACCAGAAATAATTATAATAAATGAGCCAGTTCTCATCTGGGTAAAATAACATGGCTCCATCAAAATTAATGTAGCTCATTAATGTAGCAATGTTTGTACCTCAAATGTCTCTCCTGCATTTGATTTTAATGGATTTGAGGTGCCCAAATTTAACAGCCTAAAACCAGAATTTCATTAGTAAAATCCTCAAAATGAAACTAGAACAGAATTCATTTATTGTGATGTATTTCATGTATGTCTTGCCTTCAACTATCCTAATAAATACAATTTCTAAATATACTTTCCTGCTAGTGACTGAAAAGGTACCGTGGAGATTAATGCAGAGATTATTTATTTTGCATTTGAGCTGTATGCTAGGCCATCTGAGAGCATGCAAATGGTCTGTACTTACTGGGAGAAGTAGCCCTACAAACAGGCACTTCAGGGTGTTTATTTGGATAGATAGTTGGATTTTCGATTCAAAAGACGTGCGTGTTTAGAAATTGCTCTGCTACCTTGCGTATAAGAAAAATGTATCTGATAAAGTATAACATGAAGAAAAATATAAGCAGCAGTTCATTATTTGGTTCTGTTGCCCCGATTCCTGCCCTGGAACAATGAAATCCGGAGCCCAGCGTCAGGGCTGAGCAGACACCTGCAACCTCCTGCTGCGCCACAGCAGGGAATTGGCTTCCCTGTCCTGTGCCCCAGCCACCCTCTCGGCAGAGCAGGCACGATGGCCCCGGCAGCTCTGGAGCTGGTCTAGGGCTATATTTTCTATAAACGCTTTAAAAGGGCATATAAAAACAACCCAAACATAGTCGATTTGCTGCCATCAGCACGTGTCGAGCAGCTGGCCCGACAGAGGGGACGGGGACAAAGACGAGAGGTCGCATTCAGGCTGCACGTCAGATTCGGCCTTAGCGAGGCCGGCATCGAGGCAGCCAGCACTGGCACCCCCGGACTCTTGCACAGAACTTACAGGTCTTGTGCCCACCCTGCACAGAAATAATTGCTGAGGGTTTCCCGGTTGAAACCCAGTCCACAAGCCCAGGGCACTCACTGCACTTAGCCCTTTCCTTGTGCTCTTCCAGACAGCAGCTGTTAAAACATCTCCAAGGAGAAACCCTCCTGCTAACCTCTAGAGATCACACTAATAAAACTGTTTAAATAAATAATAATAATCATCCTCTTTGGGGAGTCAACCCCATCTCCAGCCATTGCTGTACCAAATCCAGCAGGTTTGGTGGCTTTCCCCAAATCCAACAATACTACGAGCTGTCACCCGGCTGCATCCATCCTCAAAGACCTCAAAAGCAACAAGAAATGGCATTTACCTGGCGTGGACACTGCGCCGGGCTGGATGCTCCTGCTCCTTCCCTTCTTGCCACCTCCAGGCCAAGCCCGGGTCTTTCTATGCAGCTCCGTGGGTTCCAACATTCCTAAGAACTGTGCTGCCATTCCTGAGTTTTTCTTCTTTTTCTGCATCTAAACGAAAAACTAAAGATTCTTGAGCTGTAGAACTTCTGCCCTGACAGATCAGGAAGGCCACGGATCTGCATTAATAAATGGATTTGCCCCAAATTCATCCGCTCCAGCGCTGTTGGGGCAGTTTGGGAAGCAGAACGAGACTAAAGAGCTAAGCAGATTTTTCTGCCTCCGCAGAGTTTCGACCTCAATCCCAGGCGGTGTGTGAAATCTGTCCCTGGGCACAACGGCATGCAGAGGAAAAACGCTCCTTGAAGACAGGTATCTTTACAAATGACAGAATATTTATTACCAATACCTTTAAAAAAAGATTACATCTGCTAGATCACTGATAAATATCATTTACACTGGGGAGAAAACTACATAAGCTTTTTTTGTTCCATTTTTCTTGTTTTTGTGTTTTTTTTTGTTGTTTTTGTCTTTTTACATAGAAGTAACCATATCAAACTAGGAAAGGAACACAGCTTGAAATACTGACAATATTTCTCTGGTCAACACCCCTGACTTCTACACAAGTGGAATCCTGATTATGAGTTACTGAATAAATATATTTAGAAGGTCTAAAAGTTAATCGTATTATCTGTAAGCAAAAAAGACAAGTTACAGGCAAGTTCAAGCTATCAGGAAAAATAAACCACTGCAGCGCATTTAAACTTGAAAATTGTATAGAAAATTCCATTGCCTTTTACTAGCATTATCCCATCTGAGTAAACTTACAAAATTACCCCATAGTAACAAACAGTCCTTCTCTTAAGAAGAATTATTTTGCTGTGGATATTGTCATTTTCCAGTGTGATCCTATTATGCCTTCCGACTTCTGTGAAAAGTTTCTATAGAAATGTAGACTTCCTAGCACAGAGCTGCTGAGAGACCGTGCCTCCCTGCAGCGGATTTGCAAATCCCTATGAGTCCCTGCACACTTCGTGTGACAGTCCCTAGAAATATGATACAGCTCATCTGATGATCTGGATTCACATCAGACTTCACAAGCATTCCCTAGAGCGGAGTCATGAAGAATCACGAGTTACGTTAAAATGCACATCGAAAATAAGTGAATGTTCAGACGATGAAACCGGCGGTATCGCAACGTCTCAGAGCTGCTGCGTTTGGACTCCCATGGTATAAAATCCAGACAAACGGCACCCATTTAGCTGGGATTACACCAGGGCTCTAAAGGTCACAGTCCTGATGTTCAGTTGCTCCAGAACCTGTTGCTTGTGTCACTAGAGACAGAGATTACGTCTTTGCAGTATTGCCATTCCTACCCAATTTAATGCTAACTATGATAAAGACAAAGCTATTTCAAGACAGTAGAAATGGAACCTTACTGCATGATGTCAAAATATTAGCTACATGTCCACAAATGACCAAAAATCTGTGTACGTTTTTGAGATTACAGTGTTCTTAATCATTAATCCAAACTTGTCTTGCTTAAGTCCTCTAAAGAAAACGTGAATCACCTTGTGTGTTAAAAGCAGTTGATTTAACACAAATATCATAACCCCCATTTAAATACAGCTGCATTAAGAACCGGACTGGAAACAGTTCTGCCCTTAAGTTGCCTTGCAAACCAGTACAATACAGCTGCAGCCAGGTTACTAAGAACAGCTTCGAACTCTCAGTCATAAAGGAAAAAATCCCAAACAATATTTTTATGATAATGTTCTCCATAGCATTTTATAGCAGAGGAAAAATTAATATCTACATCATATGTTAACTTTAAAAAATTCTATAAAACACTAAATATATAATAAAAAATATGCATATAAGGACATATGTAAACTGCTTTGGTAACATCATATTACAGATGTTTTCAGTGCATTGCAGAGTTTCCAAGGAAACTTCAGACAAAGCTATATTTGCTTTGAGGAAGTACTGTATAATGCCATTCCTAAAGAAGCATAAACATTTTTCCAGTAGTAAGATGTACTCAGACCACAATATTACTTAGTACTGGGTGTCTTCAAAACAGCTAGCTAAATGTTGCTTATATTATAAACAAGGAGTCCTCGATGTAATTTTTGTCATAAACTGGAGCGGGCTGTGAGCGATATCATTATTGTGCTGATGGCCGACAAGGTGCAGGCGTTGGACGTGGACGAGCCGGCTCCCCTCGCGTAGGCGTCTGCGGAGGAGAGATCTTCCCCGGTGAGCAGAGCAGAGCAGAGCAGCGCGTTGCCGCCGCCCGCTCCCGCCTCCTCGGTGTCCTGGGGCCGAGCGCCACGAGGGCGCGGGCAGGAGCAGAGCAGGGGGACGCGGAATGGGGACGGGCAGCCCCGCTCTACTGTTCTAACTGCATGTTTGGGTTTACTTAAATTCCTCTGGCATTGCTGAGGGTATATTCATAATTATGCTACTTCCTGGCCCGCTAGCTGATTTTTTTTTACAATTATGCTATACCCAAGCTGTTATTTATGGCCTCAGCCCGGTGTGGTTGGCGTCCTCAAGGAGCCGCATAGACGCTCTGTGGCCCACTGCGTTGAGCCAAACAGGAGCTGGCGTGTGTTCCTGCTCTGCCCTGCTCCCCCGTGCCTGCTGATTAAATTCTTCTGTATGGTTTATACAACCATAATATACATCTGTGTTGGAGATAATTCTGATCTCACCCAGATTTTTTTTTTACATTGCTGTAATTTTAATTTTAATGCCATATTCCTGCATTGCAGAGGAGCAGAGGATCCTGATTTAATGCAGTTTATAAACTGCAGCATTATTAATGGAAGATGGGACATAGAGATTTTGCAAAAGCAATGCTGTGTAATAAAATACTCTTTTCTGTTTGTTCTTCTGCACAACCTCATTTCCCTAAATAAATATTTATGCATCCAAAACACAATGGAATATTGCTATGCAGTAGCCTTATAAATTTAGAAGCCCCTGAACGCTGTATTTTATATTTTGTTATAGCGAATTGTAGTGAAACA